ATGTTATGTTAAAGCTATATACTGGTCGCTTCTTTAACACTGCTATATATTTCTGTTTTCAGACACTGCTAATGATACAACCATGTCAGTCTTTTTCTGGTGCCGGCGATAAATGTGAAGCATGTGAGGTTGACACTACTGAGCTATATTCTTATGGTGATGACATTAATGAAATGCAAGCTGGTTTACTTGAGCCTCAAACTACTTTAAGCACTGACAACTCCATTCTTTCTGCACCATCATTATCGCACTGCAGTACAGCAATCATGGATTCATCAGATTTTGTCATGGCATTTCTGTTGTCATTGTGACATGCATTGACATCGGCAATTTACTGACATTAACAAAATCACTTGATGACAAATGCCAAGTTATCAGTAATATATCAAATGCTGAATTGTATTCCTATCTTTATAAGCACGTAGTACCACCAAACGTTTTTCATTCAACATTTCATCATGGGTGTAACTGCAAGTTTAAAATAGCTTGGCTTGAAAATCACCCATGGTTATTTTACAGTTCTAAACTGGATAGCATTTTTTTGTGGTCCTTGTGCTGCCCTTCTTTCAATGCATTGTCGGCGTGATAAAGTAGCACAACAAATCATGTAACAATGGTTGGAGACGGCTTGAATGGGTAATTTTAATATAAGTGTAACATAACAGCAAATGTACAATGTTTCGACAAGGTTTTGTCATCATCAGGTACCTGACATACTGATGATGACAAAACCTTGTCGAAACGTTGTACATTTCCTGTTATGTTAAACTTATATTAATGTTTTTTCCTCATTACCCATTCAAGCCCTCTCAAACCATTATTAGTCTCAAAGTGGGTTCCTCGTCATCGAATTTGAAATCATGGAACAACTGGGTAAAAATTAGTGATACTTTAAGCAACCATTCTAAGCTTGTTTATCATTGTGATTCTATGCAGGCTGCTGATGCTTTGAAGGCTTCTATTGAACATCCCTCATCCAGTAGATTTTATATTATTACCAACAGTGCCTTTCAGTCACGTATAAACATACTTTTCATCAAATTTTTCGTGTCATTTTGTTCTTTTCATGACAATACCGAAGATATAAATTATTCCAAAAATCCTGGCAATTTTCTGGCCTTGCTGTAACATAGACTGAAAATAATGAAATACTGAGAACTCATTTGTATCATCCCAAAGCAAAAAACGCTACATATTTATCTCCCCGCTCACAAAATGACATAATAAATGTTATAGGATATTATGTAATTCGAGTAAAAAAAGCTGGATTCTACTTTGTTTTGCTGATAAAGTATCTTCTCACAATGTGGAACATTTACCAATATGTCTCCGCTTTGTAGATGACAACTTTGAAATTAGGAAAGAACTTATTGGCTTTGTTAAGCTATAGAGGGTCAGAGCAACAGATATCGTATGTGTAATTACAAAGATATTGACTGGTGTTGAATTATTTCTAAATGAATTGAGTGGCCAAGGATATAATGCAGTATCCAGCTTGGCTGGCGAAAGATCTGGTGTCCAAAACAAACTCGAGATATGCAAAGTAAGGCCTTGTAAACTCATTGCGCATGTCACTTACTTAATCTTGGTATTATAAATTCATGTTAACTTCCACCAGTACGAAATTGTATCGATCAAGTTAAAGGAATAACTATTTGGATTAAATCCTCACCTAAACGTGGGGAACTATTAAAGGCAATCTATCAAAAGGGCATCCAGCATGGAGCAGCTTAATCACGCCTTTCACTAGTCGATGTGTGCATTACACACTGGGTTGAGAATACTGAAGGTTGGGAAAGGTTCTGTTTGTGTCATCCATTCTTACTTCCCATGTGTGAGGTTATTGTGTAAAGAGATGATAGTTTTGAAATGTTTAATGACAACTGGGCTACTGAAGATAAGAAAAATGCTATGGCTAATCTAAAAAAACCGGAATCTTTTGAATTCAGTTTTACATGAATATATCACATTGATATATGTTTATGTCATTAACATTATATTGAGAAAAGATACCACACAGTATAGGTAATTGAGTAAACTTGCAACTTATATCTACATGTATAATAAATCAATATCTACTATATAACAATATGCCATAATTCTGTACAACACGTAGTTTCAAGGAGATAGTCAGATATGTGCAAAGGCACAGATATATAACCAGTAATCAAACAGAGCTATAATAGATTCGAATGCAAAACAAAATTATCTTGTTACACAATTTTATTTAGAGCAATTGCATTTCACACTCTGCTACAAAATGACATAAAGTATCTTATACACTCTCTCTTTTACTGAAATTAGTATAGATATACTACAAATTTCAGTACTAAATGGGTACTCTGGTGATCATGAGCCTACAGTTATTTTACTGCATTGACTTCAAATATTCTGCAGGTTATTTTGGATTATTCAGTAAAAACGAAATTACAAATTCAAGTCCACTTAATAATAATGAATTAAACCATCATATTTTTTGGACTACAAGTACACAGTCTTACGTTACTAACAAAAGACAACTTCTAATCTGAAATTCCACTTACTTGCTAATTTCGTATCTTCTTTGTTTTGTCGAAAACACAAATTCAAACTTTAAAGCACTGAAGTAACTAACTGGCTGACATCAATTCAAACATATTACCTAAATCGTGCACTGATTACTCATTAACTAAATAATATACGTGCCTGCTAACTCATTCATTGTATTGGCTCAAACTGTTCTGAGACTTTATGTAAAATTCCAGACATTAATGCCATGCACGCATTACATGGATAAAGCCTCCCTCTGGTCAAAAAACAAAAAAATACAAACTTCTAAACTGAATAGTCTACAAAATTTCCCCATGTGAAGTCCTTTGAACAACCAAATTACATAAATAAAAATAATACATTAAATTTTCGTAACTAGCAATGAAGTAAGTCTTGAAAACTAAAAACATTAATGCTCATAAATATAGACGTATCATCATTAGATATCAATTAAATGTATCGTTGAAGCAAAGTGCAATCACATTTTTGATTAACAGAACAAACATTTCTTTCCTTATTCATTTATGTGGTTTTCTTTTTTTTCGTGCCTTATGGTAAAAACTTAGGATGACTTCTTGCCTTTTTTTCAACACTTTCTGTTTTTTCACTGGGGAAGTTCTATTCAGGCCATTTATTGAGGAAATCCATTGCTTGTGACTTCATCCTTGGTAATATTTTAGAGGTGATCTCGACAGGAACATCGGGTTCTTCAGCAGGTCGATTTTCTTCTGGTGAAGAACTCTCTGAAGCTAACCAGTTGGTCACTCTCCCACCAACATACATCTGAAGATGATCAAGATGGAGGACATTTGGCTTGCACCATCTAGCTTTCTGGATTTTGCTGTGTTACACTTTAGGTTGGTTGTCTTCTTTTTCATGTGCTTTCATCTTTGTAGTTACTGGAAGTTCAACCTCTGGTGGGTAAATGACGTGTTGTGCAAAAGGACGTTCTGGTCATAAACTGTGAAAATGTTTGGGACAGATATGATTAATATAATAAGTCTACTCCCAATATGTTAATTACCTGATAATCATGTTGCGTGGTGTAGCTTCCAATAGTAAGGGTGGCTTACAACTTTCTTCTTGCTGTAATGTTATGACCATTTGCTCTTTACAACAATCCATGGAGACAATGCCTAGCTTTCATTAACAGATCAGTTCAAACAATGGCATAGCAGATGTAGAGCCAATGTCAATCAACCTGTTGCAAGACTTTCCATTTACTCAGGTACAGGTTTCTTTATATAATGAGCCCATTACCTTAAATGAGGCAGACATAATACTTTCAGCTAGGCTTTGGCCCTTAAGTCCAGCTAATTACTGCTTTACAATGTCTACTTAGCTCATTGTTGTTGTTTTTATCCATTTTGTCTCTATAACTCATCATCAGAGCACTGTTTTCTTGGTTTATTATTATCTGTTGGTTGGTTCATCACAGTCTCGGTTATAAAGTTCATGTTTTCCACACTGGTGATACTCTTGTATCTGCTGACTTTAAATATATCTTTTAAAATAACATTGCAGTTGAAATATCGACTATCTCATGGATTACTTCTTATATTCAGAGAACACAGTTGTATAATTCATTTTTTGCATTTTTCTAGACTTCCATCAAAGGGAGTTAATGTTTCCATACTATTTGATTTGACAGTCCAAAAATGTCTAGATGGAGTTTCTGGTTCTTTATCTGCAACTTTGATTCAAGTTTCATCGCCCACTGGATAGCTTTTTTTAAAGATGTAAACGTACTTTGCTTTAGCATAATTCATATATCCTCATCCGCTATGCATCTACGAATTGGTTGCATGCCAATCAGTCCATCGTTTCAAGTGGAGCATCTGGATAAAATAACTGGGCTAGTCTTTCCACATCTTCCACAAGTTTGGCTTAGGTCTCATCTTTGCTACTTACTCTGTTCCTAATCCTTGTTTTAAAAACAAGCTTCTGATCTGACACTCTAAATTCCTTTGATAAAACAACCATTAAAGTCTGATAGTTGTTTGGCCCTCTGTAAGAAGGTTTCTTAATGTTTTCAAAGCTGGTTTAATCTTTGCATTTGCCAATTAAATTTCTAGATATTTTATCTCAGAGTTGATATCCTTTCGTGGATTTCCTACAGCTTATTTGGTGATGCATTTCATTGATTTATTTTTATACTTCCTTATTTTTGCATTTGGATGTAATTGTATAATGCTCTTTTTTTACTTTTCTGATGTCCTTTTGTTTTAAAACATCGTAAAAATTCCAAACATTGAGAGGTGTACTCATCACGTGATGTCAAACTTCTGTCTGTCCAAACAACTATTCAAAGGTCTAAACTGAAAAACATAGCCTTTTTTACTAAAATCATTTCAAGTAATTACCTCAGCTGATGGGTGGTATTCAGGTGAATGTCTAACCTTGCTACTAAAATTATTTCAAGTTAGATAAAAAAAAACTATTATAAAGTGTTACATAGGAGAATGTCTAACCTTCTTTTGCTTGGAATTATTCCCATGCCTTCCTCTTCACCACCTGGAAGAACTTTTCTTGCTTGCCACCACTCATCATCACTTGCATTAATAACATGCAGAATATCTCCAAAGTTAAACCTAAGTCCTCTGCTGGGTAGACCACTGTCTTTAGACGGATCATAGTCATAGAGAGCCCTGAAATCAAGACAAAAATACACAAACTAATTGATATTCTTAAAAAGATAAGGTACATAATTAATTTTTTTTCACAATACAATATAAATAGACTAGTTTTGACAATTTGATATTGTACGTGGTACTTTTCCCGTTGATAAAGTTCCCCTTTGCTATAAAGACAAACACACGCATACACCTCAATAAAATTTTAGTTCAATACACATGACTAACCTGACATGAAGAGACCGCTTTTGGGAAGTACGTAAGGTGCCAGAGGATGTGGTCAACATTTGTTCTCGCAGGTCACGTAATTTTGCTTCAAATTTATTGTATTCTGAAATAAAAAATGGTTTAGGAATATTCATTTATTACCTATCATTGAAACATGTTTCATAAGAAAAGAAGCGATTTCTGTGTACATAATGTAGACTAAGATCAGAGAAATATTCATCCTCCAACTATATAGCACCAACGACAATTAAATAAAATAACAGGAGATAGATAAATTGCAAAATTACCCTGAAAAAAAAACTAACAAAAAACCGAAGTCATATTAAGATCAAGTTTACAAAGAAAATCATCAAGTACATCATCATCTTACGAAGGAACCTTTTGCAGTGTTAACTAAGCTTCAGGGCTATTGTCAAGATGCACAGTTGTCGTATATAGCATGACCGGACGTGTTGACATGGATTATAATGATGTCTTAAGGATCTAAAATTGTTTTCATATAACACATTCAACCTCTACAGCAGTAAAGCTTTAACATTACATTTTGTTCAGTGCTTAAATCTGAGATATATTGTATACAGTTTTAAAGAAATCACAGGTGTTTTACAAACCAAAAAATTTCGATAAGCATTTTAACACGCAAGGCTTTTTAAACATATATGTTCCTAAATTATCTAAATAATGAACGGCTTGGGAGTCCACGAATTTCTTGGCTGCGGAGTCGTTGATGGAGGAAAGTTCACCTTCCGAAAGCTCTAGGGTTATGCGACTTATTTTCTGTTGATCTGTGTGTTTTGGAATATCATGAAGATATCTAATAACATATGTTCACACAAAAAAGAAATAAATAAAATATCATTAATGTCCAATAAATTCCACTAATTATTACTAGGGTCCTGTGTGTATTTTATATAGATAATGGCTAATTTTACCCATTTTATTTTAGGTCATATTATTTTTTTACGATGAACGTTTTAACAGGCAAAAACAAAATTATTTAATATGATGCATTATGTGGACTGGTCATATTGTGAACTGGCAAAACAAGTCAGCTGTTTAAGGGTTACGATACTTTCATTGTTGCTCATTCTTAGTAACCTGTAGTTGAGATTTGCAGAAGTCAGACCATGTCAAGTGGTCATGAACTGCTGAAGACTAGTCTTTTAACATGATAACCTGGCTTTTGGTAGCAGATTGTGTCATACTAGGTTTAAGTTCAACAAAAACTTGTACCCTAAAAAACACTCCGTCTTTCAGGCAGAAACTTGTTTCTATTAAGTAAGAATACTTTAACCTACAAACTTCTATAAAAATCAAAGCCAATTCTGTTGTTCTATGGTTTTAATTTGTCCCTGATGAAGAAAGGTCCACTCGGATTATAGGGTTTTGTATTTTTCTCTTTAATTGGTGTATATGTTCTATGATTTTTATATTTACCTGCAATAAAACTGAAACCGTATATTAACTTTATTACTTCGAAATCCAAGTTTAAGAAGCTTTTTTGCTTGCAGTTGTTGGTGCTTCAAAGTGCAAATGGGTCTCTCGGTATGTTTACGAACTTATATCGCTAAAATCCGGGCTTGGTTACCAACAGCAGACAGAGCACAAATAGCCCACTGTGTAATTTTGCGTTAAAAAAACAACAAACTGCAGATGGACATGCCAAACATGAAAATATCTGGTCGAATTTGAAAATACTGTCAATATAAAACAGTTTTTCCAATCAACTCAGGTTCGGAATTTAACTCACCGAAATTTTTGGTTATCTAGAAATATCGTCATTACAATGTCGGTTATAACTCACATATATGATGCTTAAAATAATATTCAATTTTCACACAAACAAGTTGAAGATCCAAAACGAATTATTTCAACAATTCAAAACGTAGTTATTGTTTATACTGTACGTTATCAGTATTTCAATCAAATTAGGTATATTTCAAATACTGAGATATTCTAACGAAACAGTTGAACAAGTTTGCTTTACTCGAATACTTGCACAAAGCTACACAAGAACTATCTGCAAAAAACTCGTTTCTAGTTCTGAATTGACTAGAAAAGGCATCCAGTCAACAGCATCCACACCCATCACTGCAACGGAACGCGTACTATTAACCATCTATTTCACAGTCCGGAATGCTAACCATTTGGCCACTATAGGCTCACAACATAATAGCACAACTGATGCTTTCCTGGCGTTTTTCCTTGAACGAAAGAACAGCCTACAAGCGACAAAGCCTCCGATCTTGGCTATTACCATACTGTACAAGTACAGTGGAACCTAATAGTCCAAATGGTCAATAAACAAAACAACAACAAGAAAAAAAACAACTATAACGCCGTTACTCATTCTTGCTCGCAGCTCGTGCTGCAATAAACGGTTGTCCTGGTAATGCACAACGACTGGATGAAAGATGTTCGAAAACTTGCCAGGGTGCAGGATAAAAATGGCACGAGTGTCTAAAAGTTTGACTATTCTCTAAAAAAATAAATTGCAACTTCCATTGCAGGTTAGGGGAATCATCATTATTTTCTGCTATCGTAACAGAAGAGATGCTTAAAAAAAAAAACTCGCCCAATGTAATTGCTGTCTAGTAGTTTCAAAAATACTCTTGGGCTGGGTGAGAAGTCTTTCAAAGTAGATATTTGAAACTATTTTTCAAGATGGCTACAAAACAATCTTAAGTTTAACTCTTTAACTCTTTAACCCAACAGGTTTATTTTAAGGTACTTGCATAGTGACTAACTACGAACACATGATTCAAACATTGTTTTTTAAGTTTCTGAGTGGGAAGGGGGGAGGGGAAAAAACTGCAAAGGTTGGGTTTTAGATACATTTACTTGCTAATCACCCAGGGAGAAACCAGCAGTAGAAAATTTATCAATCAAGTCAAAGTCCAATACAAATACATGTTTTGTATTATAGAAAGCAAAGTGAACAGATAAAAACACATTGACATTTTCAGTACGAAAAAACTATTTTAATTGTTGTTGTTGTTTATTATTAAGCACAAAGCTACACAATCGGCTATTTGTGCTCTGCCGACCACAAGTATCGATACCCGGTTTCTAACAGTATAAGTCCGCAGGCACACCGCTTTGCCACTGGGGGCAAACTATTCCAAGCATTAAGTTCATCACCGCAAAAGCTTTTCTGTAGGAAAACGTAACACGTTCTTTGTATATACATAAATATAATATCATTACAGTAATAATGTCTTAATGGGGGGGGGGGGGGAGAAGTTAAAAACTTTCGAAGTACTGTAGTCTCAAAGTTAAAATGTCTATTAGAACATTTTATTTAAGTTTTCTTTTTTTTTCGGATCGTTATGAACTTCTAACAGGATAATAAACCGCCAATTAAATTGCAAAAAGTCGTCTGGAACTGATACTACACCTCTACGTTCACGAACTGATCAATAACCCCACGAAAACTGATCATGAAACACCGCAATCGACCACAATGTTATAATGAATTCGATTACAATATATCGTCGCTTTAGTAATATTTTCCATCATCATATATATTTTTGCTTCAAGGTATCTGACTCTGTACTTTTATTTCTTGTACGTTAGTCTGTTTTCTTAAGGAAAAATCATTTAATTTAGACATTCTTAATTAAAACCATATTTATCATAATTCTCGAATTATTAACATCAATGTGTATGTATGTATATAGTACACAAAAGAGACGCAAACAGTCAAATGTCAGAAACAGTAGGTTTTATTTTATTTTTAAATACATACCTAGGAAAGAAAATTTGCTATTTTATTTAACAATGATGTTTTTCACATCAAACCTGATGAAGAGCAGTTTTCCTTGCCTAATACGTATTTAAAAAAATATATAAAAAAATTGTGTATGTAGTAAAACAGGTTTTTGTGCCCTACTGACTACTATTTTATAAGTACAATTTTCAGAAAGGTTTAAATTTTAAAGCTTAGCAATGTAGCATACTCACAAACAGATGATATAACGAATGTCTTAAGTTGAAAATAATGAAATAGTTCTAAGAGAGTTAAGTTTAAAATCTTCATAGAATAAATTAAGAAACTATAACTGCAATTTCTATTTAGTTTTCCCCAAATTTTAAAGTGAATGCATAGTCCATAATAGCAGAAAATTATTTGACTTAGTTTTAACCAAAAAAGCTTACTTGTCTGTTGCATACTTTACATCTGAAAAGTTTGTTTGTTTTGAATTTCGTGCAAAGCTACACGAGGGCTATCTGCGCTAGCCGTCCCTAATTTAGCAGTGTAA